CAGGTCTCCTGAGAAACCTGCATGTGGGTCAAGAAGAAACAGTTAGAACCTTACATGAAACAATGATTGGTTCAAAATTGAAAAAAGAGTATGACAATGATGATATTGTCATCCTGTTTATTTAACTTATATACAGAGTGTGTGCTGTGTGCTGTGTGCTTAGTCGCTCAGTCATGTCTGACACTTGCGACCCCATAGACTGTAACCTGCCAGGCTCCTGTGTCCATGGGATTTTGCAGGCAAGAAGACTGGAGTGGGTTGCCATTTCCTTCTCCAGGGGATCTTCCCGACTCAGGAATCGAACCCAGGTCTCTTGCATTGCAGGCAGATGCTTTGCTTACTGAGCTACAACATCATGCAAAATGTTGAGCTGGATAAATCATAAGCTGGAATCAAGGTTTCAGGGAGAAATATCAACAACCTCTGATATGCAGATAATAGCACTCTAATGGCAGAAAGCAAAGATGAACTAAAGAACCTCTTGATGAAAGTGAAGGAAGAGAGTGAAAGAGCCAACTTAAAACTAAATATTAAAAAACAGCAACAACAATAACAACAACAACAACAAAACTAAGATCATGGCATTGGCCACATTTGTCATTGTTCAGTCGCTGGGTCATGTCCGAGGCTTTGCAACCCCGTGGACTGCAACACGCCAGGCTTCCCTGCCCTTCACCATCTCCCAGAGCTTGCTCAAACTCAGGTCCATTGAGTTAGTGATGCCATCCAACCATCTCATCCTCTGTCATCCCCTTCTCCTCCTGCCTTCAATCTTTTCCAGCATCAGGGTCTTTTCCAATGAGTCAGCTCTTCCTGACAGGTGGCTTAAGTATTGGAGTTTCAGCTTCAGCATCAGTCCTTCCAATGAACATTCAGGATTGATTTCCTTTAGGATTGACAGGATTGATCTTCTTGCAGTCCAAGGGACTCTCAAGAGTCCTCCCTGTGCAGTGTAGAGTCAATACAGAGGAAGCACATCTGACCAGGCCCATGATACTGTTCTTCATCTCCATTATTACTTTTATGTATGCTTCCCAATGGACCCAAAGGATGCTAGAGAATAACCTCCACACAGTATTCAAGAGTGCAATGCACCATTATACATCCCCACCAATAATGTGTATGAGTTCTAATATTTTTTACATCTTCACCAATACTTGTTATCTTTGCTTTTTGTTTTTAATAATAATCATCCTAATAGATTTGAGGTGATATCCAATTGTACTTTTGATCTACATGATTAGTGATGTTGAGCAACTTTTCATATACTTGGTGGCATTCTTTTTCTTTTATTTATTTTTTATTTATTTTCAAATGTCTATTGAAGCCCTTTTCTTATTTTTAATTAGATAATTTTAAATTCATTTTTATTTTTGCTACTGGGTTTTAGGAGAATTTTCTATACTTTGGATATTATCCTCTTATCAGAGAGACGGTTTGCAAGTATTTTCTCCCATTCCACAATTTTTCACCTTACTGATCACTTTCTTTGTTCTATAGAAGCTTTTAAGCCTGGTGTAGTCTCATTTGTCTGTTTTTTGGATTTATTTCATGTGTATTAAGCATCAAATGAAAAAAATAAATTGCCAAGGATGATGCTAAGATACTTCTCTCCTACTTTTTTTTGAGAATTTTTACAGTTTCAATTTTTAAGTTTTAATTTTTTAATCCATTTTGAGTTATTTTATGTGTATGGTGTATTTCATTCTTTGCATGTGGATATCTAGTACTCCCAAAACCATTTGTTGAGAGTATTCCCTTTCTCCCTTTGTGTGTCCTTGATGTCCATATTGAAAATCAATATGTTTAGGTTTTTTCTAATTTCTCTATTCTTTTCCAAACTGGTCTATCTCTCTGTCTTTATGCAAGGACCATGCTGTTTTAATTACTGAGGCTTTGCAATAAATTTCAAATTTAGAAAGTGTGATACCTGTAACATTGCTGTTTATTTAAAGTTTGCTTGGTTTTTGAGGATCTTTTGTGTTTCTATGTGAATTTTGTGGGTTATTTGTTTCTGTAAAAATGTCTGGAATTTTGATAGAAAATGCAGACTGCATTAAATTTGTACTATGATATTGAGTAATTTGTCTTTCAGTGGTATGTACATTTTAACAATATTAATCATTCTTACCTATAAATATAGTATGTCTTTCTGTGTATATGATTTTGATTTAATTTAGTTCATCAATATCTTACAGTTTTAGGTGTACAAGTCTTTCACTCCCTTGTTTAGGCCTATTCCTAAATATTTCTTGATGCTATTGTAAATAGTATTGCTTTTTTTATTTTCTTTTTCAGATAGTTCATTGTTAGCATATAGGATTACTTTATGACCCAACAATCTCACTTCTGAATTTATATCCAAAATAATTGAAATCAGTATCTGAAAGATATGTATGAATTCCCAGCTTCATTACAGTTCTATTCACAATAGCCAAGATATGGAAACAACCCAAAGGTCAATTGACAAATGAAGGAATAAATAAAATGTGGTATATACACACAATGAAATATTGTGTGTGTGTGCATCTGTGTGTGTGTGTGATCTGCTGTGTCCAACTCTTTGTAGTCTCATGGACTGTAGCCCTCCAGCCTCCTCTGTCTATGGAATTTTCTAGGAAAGAATGCTGCAATGGATGTTTCTGACCCAGGCATCAAACTCATATCTTTTGCATCTCCTTCATTGGTAGGTGTGTTATTTACCACTATGCCACTGTGGAAGGAACAAGGAAAAGAACACAAGTTTCTGAAAACACTAAATTACATCAAATTTCCTATTCGGGTAAAGAAAGAACTACCTCTACTACTCTGGGGGCTTCTCTGATAGCTCAGTTGGTAAAGAACCCACCTGCAATGCAGGAGACCCTAGTTCAATTACTGTGTTGGGAGATCCACTGGAGAATGGATAGGCTACCCACTCCAGTCTTCTTGGACTTCTCCTGTGGCTCAGCTGGTAAAGAATACACCTGCAATGCGGGAGGCCTGAGTTTGATCCCTGGGTTGGGAAGATCTCCTGGACAAGAGAAAGGCTGCTAACTCCAGTATTCTTGCCTGGATAATTCCATGGGCTTGCAAAGAGTTGGACATGACTGAGCTTTTCTTCTTTCCCTCCCTCTGCCACCACCAAAAATAAAACAACAAAAACAAAAAGAGTCATTGTAATAAATATTAAAGAGATATTATTACTTTTTCATTAATCAACTGTTCTTAATAAGTATATGAATAAATAATAAATACTCAAATCATATGAATATTTAGGCTCCAAATGCATATGCATGTGCACACTCATGCACACACAGAGTGAAATATGAATAATATGAAGCTTGTTAGTCATTAAACTAAAACAAAGATTCCAAATTGTAAGCCTTAAGTTAATTAAAAATGTTTATTCTTTCAAAGCAAAATTAGGTTATGTGATAATGTGTGATTCTTATATCTTGTAGTGACATGATCCAATAATGCACAAAATAGATTGGTGGTGATTTAGCCATTTCATTTGGAAAGCAGCTGGTATCATAATAAACACCTTTTCACTCCTTCTCACAGATGCCACCTTATAGAGTTTATCTTATGGTATCATAATAAACACCTTTTCACTCCTTCTCACAGATGCTACCTTATAGAGTTTATCTTAGAATGAAATCAGTCAAAAGTGAGGAAAATACCAAATGAATACTCAGGCTTTCAATGTAACATATTTCAAATTAAACCTGAAGAGTTGGAAGCAAACTACAACAAGGTAAGTAATTAATTGGAAAATGTTCTTTTTTACCCATATGGATCCACACATGGTCTAAAATAATGATTTTTAGGGGCCTTTAATTGGTTGGGAAAGGGCTTGTTAAATCATTGCTAGGTGAAAATCAGAATATAAATTATACAGAGTTATCATTTCAGCTATTCAATAAATATTTATTCATATGCAAAGAGGACTAATCAGGCACACAAATAACATTATAGTGTACTATGAGTGTGGCTTTGAAATTCACTTGATGGGGAAAGATAGAATAATGGGAGAGATTAGGAAGAGAGGAAAGAAAACCAGTCTTTAGGCAATGAGTAGAGTGGAAACTGTTGCCAGGGAGACCGGTTACTAGGATCCTGAAATAGCTTAAATGAGAGTTGATGAAATTCTAAACCAAGGCAAAGGCTGAGGGGGTAAATGAAAAGGAAATATTGAGGTTACTATTTTTTAAAAGAAAAAAAAATATCAGAAAAGAGAAAGGATTCTTTTCCTTCCAAAAAAAATGTTGCATGTGTCTTCTACTAAAATACGTTTAAAATATAGTATTATTTGTCAGTTACTTGTTAATAAGTGCCAGGCAATTAACTTTTGTCCTTTTTTTATGTTGTTTTACATGGTTGTTTCTATCAGTATCCTGATTTTTTTTTTTTACTTTCCCAGCTTTTATTTATAATTTGTGCTTTTAAAGGCCTGGAAATTAAGTTTTTGCTCAAATTCCAGAATACAGTAATATATCAAAAGGAAGGCTTAGGGGAAGTAGTTCCCTCCACCATACTTTTGGGAGACATGAAAGAAAGGATAAGAATTACACCTTAGTTTTAGTTTAGGAAATAGTCTTTTTTCCTAGGATGTAACTAAGGTCTGCAGCGATGTGAAAAGCACATTATCAAAGGGAAAAATATACAGAGCAGACTACTATGCCTATGTGCAACACAACCAAAACCAGGATTCAAGTCATGATTCTTACCATGCCCATAATTATTTCACTCATATCACATCAATGATAAAGTTCATTCATTTCTGTGAAACTTCAGAAGTGACACAAATCAATGATTAGGCAAGGGTTACAATATACTGTGGCCATGATACAGCACAGGGCTATGTTTAGTCCATATATTTTTTCATTTACAGTTGCCAGAAAAAAAATTGGCCTTTTAATTATATTATACTGATGAGGTTTGTTTCATAATTTTTACATATTTAAAAAAAGTGTACAAAACCGCCTAGCCAACAGAGGTGGCAGGCTTTTTATTTTTTATTCATCATTTGTATTGCTGAGAATACTGTGCATGTTGTAAGCACTGTTCTGCTTTTCTAGAGCTTTCTTTAGTTTTAGCTTTTCTAATTTTTTCCATAATTCTTCTCGTTCCAATTCCTTCTTTTTCTCCCTTTGTCTTTCAGCTTTGTATGAGCTAGTAAGGTCATCGAAAAGCTTGCCGTTCATCTCCATGAGGGTTTTCAGCACATTGTACACCAGCGCTACAATGGTCAGATTCCAGTGTTCTTTGGAGATTTTGTACAAACTGCCAAACATAATGGGCAGAATTTTATCAATATTCTCCTCAATCAAACTAAGAATATATTCATTGTTCCAGAAGTATAGTGCCCTTTCTGCAACCTGAAAATGAGAACTGGATACACACTTGGATATCTGCTTAAAAAGGGGCTCTTCAATTTTTTTGAATTGTGTTGGTTCAATGACATCTAAGATTTCTTTAATTTCTCCTAAAAACATCACCTCTTTCTGACTGCATGTTTTTGGCCAAATTTCAGCAATCCTCTGATCACGGGTTCTGTTAGCGTTGTATCTTTCTCCAGGAACTGTACAACACAGTAGGCTAGATGAGCATGAAACAAAGCTAATCCTTTTGCAGTATGCATAGGAATAAGAACCTTCATTAGAAATTGTTTATGTTCTGCTTTCAGTGGCAATGCAAAGCCATTGATAATACTTCCTAAAATTTCAAGGAGTTCAGCAACACCATTGAAATGTTCTGTTTCATATATAAACCTGAGGAATATGTTGTTAATTTGTTTTCTGATGAATGCTCTTAATCCAAGAAATTTCCCATAAATTCGATGTAGAACAGTCTTCAGGAAGTCACGTTCTCTAGGATCTTCACTCTCAAAAATCTCCAGGAGCTTTAAAAAAAATCTGTTGTACAAATTTCTGATCAATGTACTGCTTTGCAATGCTAGGTTGGAACTCAGGGCTCTCCAAAAATCTCAAGAAGAATTCATACACCAACACCCACTGTGGCCGTAATTTTTGTAGTCTGAGGTGTGACAGCAAAACCAGTGTGATTTTTTTTTCCTTCCTCAGAATTTCACAGATAGAAGATTTATTACCACAGATCTTAGCAACGTCAGCATATGCTTTTTTTCTTTCCTTATTCAATTGAGAACTTTCACCTTTTCCTTAAAGCACTTTACAGCTTCTCTCTGGCATCCCTAAAGGTTGTTGTTTAGTCGCTAAGTCGTGTCCAGCTCTGCGACCCATGGACTGTAGCCCACCAGGCTCCTCTGTCCATGGGATTTCCCAGGCAAGAATATTGGAGTGGGTTGCCATTTCCTTCTCTCAGTATCCTGATTTTGAAGAGGAGATGACTAAGATGGGGAAGATTTTCTAATATCACATTGCCTGTGAATGGGATCCCTAGAATTCCTACCACATATCAACCCAAACTTAGATGCTGAACTCCATTCCTAGATGCCTGAACAATGGGTGGAAGGATATACAGACCTGGACAAATCCTGAAACTCACTCTTACTCTCTCTGAATCTCTTTCTTTCTTTTTTTCTGTAATTGAATTTCTAGAATCTTTCACCTCCTTCAAGCTGCTTATTTTGGAGATTGGGTTCTGCAGCACTTCTTACTCTGTGGAAGGTGAACAGCTCACAGGCATTCAGAATGAAGGCATCTGAGCTGCCTCCCAGTTAAAGTGAAAAAGAGAATGGAGGCCAGGTTTTCACCCTTCAAATATTTGTTGGGGATGGGTGAGGAGAGATGAGAAGTGGGAGGAGGTAGTGTGTGTGTGTGTGTGTGTGTGTGTGTGTGTGTGTGTGTGTGTATCCTCAATCACGCCCGACTCTTTGTGACCCCATGGACTGTAGCCCGCCAGGCTCCTCTGTCCATGGAGTTCTCCAGACAAGAATACTGGAGAGGGATGCCATATTTTTCTTCATGGGCTCTTCCAACCAGGGGATTGAACTCGTGACTTAGTGTCCTCTGCATTGGCAGGCAGGTTCTTTACCATTGAGCCCCCGGGATGTGTGAGAAGAGTTTAGAAGTGGGAGGAGGTAGTAGTGGATCTAAAAGAATAGGTAGAATTGGGTCTCATTTCTGCAGGCAAGGAAGAAGCATAGATTCCTGGGAATTCTGCAGTCTATACATGGGTAGAAGTTGGCAGGAGGGAGACTGACCTAGGAGAGTATGCTACAAGACCAGTAGGAGAAGAACACAGGAAGCAGGAGCTGCATTACAGAAGTGAGCAGTTAGTGAAAGAAAGACAGAAAGAGACAATGCAACACACACAAGAGGCACTGAGAAGATTATTAGATGAGAATTCTCTTGGAATCAGAGTCATGGGGTCATAAAAATGTTCTGTTTTCTTTCCTATTGATAAACTATTCAGTTCAGTTCAGTCGCTCAGGCATGTCCGACTCTTTGAGATCCCATGGACTGCAGCATGCCAGGCCTCCCTATCCATCACCAACTCCCAGAGTTCACTCAAACTCATGTCCATTCAGTCCGTGATGCCATCCAACCATCTCATCCTCTGTCATCCCCTTCTCCTCCTGCTTTCAACCTTTCCCATAGCTTTGACTAGACGGACCTTTGCTAGCAAAGTAATGTCTCTGCTTTTTAATATGCTGTCTTGGTTGGTCATAACTTTTCTTTCAAGGAGTAAGCGTCTTTAAATTTCATGGCTGCAGTCACAATCTGCAGTGATTTTGGAGCCCCACCCACTCACCCCCCAAAAAAGTCTATCATTGTTTCCCTACCTATTTGCCATGAAGTTATGGGACCAGATGCCATGATCTTAGTTTTCTGAATGTTGAGTTTTAAGCCAGTTTTTTCACTCTACTCTTTCACTTTCATCAGGAGGCTCTTTAGTTCTTCTTCACTTTCTGCCATAAGGGTGGTGTCATCTGTATATCTGAAATTATTGATATTTCTCCCAGCAATCTTGATTCCAGCTCGTGCTTCATCCAGCCTAGCATTTCTCATGATGTGCTTTGTATATAAGTTAAATAAGCAGGGTGACAATATACAGCCTTGACATACTCCTTTCACTATTTATTTCCCAATACTATTTAGAGTTATAAATAAATAAAAGTATTTACTATTTGTATAAAGATGAACTGAAACCCAGTGAGCTGATTTGCTCCATTGTGTGAGCTTTCTCACACAATGACAAACTCAACAGCACTGTCTTGGTCTCCACCAAGATGACACCACCCTTATGGTGGAAAGTGAAGGGGAACTAAAGAGCGCCTTGATGAAAGTGAAAGAGGAGAGTGAAAAAACTGGCTTAAAACTCAACATTATAAAAACTAAGATCATGGCATCCGGGTCCATCATTTCATGACAAATAGATGAGGAAACAATGGAAACAGTGACAGACTTTTTCTTGGGTTCCAAAATCACTGCAGATGGTGCCTGAAGCCATGAAATTAAAAGATGCTTGGAAGAGAAAGATCCTTGGAAGAAAAGCTATAACCAACCTAGACAGCTTACAAAAATCAGGAACATTACTTTGCCAAAAAAGGTCCATCTAGTCAAAGCTATGGTTTTTCTAGTAGTTATGTATGGATGTGAGAGTTGGACTATAAAGAAAGCTGAGCACTGAAGTATCGATGCTTTTGTACTGTGGTGTTGGAGAAGACTCTTGAGAGTCCCTTGGACTGTAAGGAGACCCTACCAGTCAATCCTAAAGGAAACCAGTCCTGAATATTCATTGAAAGCATTGATGTGGAAGCTGAAACTCCAAAACTTTGGACACCTGATGCAAAAAAATTGACTCATATGAAAAGACTCTGATGCCGGGGAAGATTGAAGTCAGGAGGAGAAGGGGGCGACAGAGGATGAAATGTTTGGATGGCATCACTGACTCAATGAACATGAGTTTGAGGAAGCTCTGGGAGTTGGTGATGGACAGGGAGGCCTGGTGTGTTGCAGTCAATGGGGTTACAGAGTCAGACTCAACTGAATGACTGATTGAACTGAACTTATCTTGGTCTCTAGATGCACCCAGGACCTCACCTCTTTCCTACAACTGGTCATTTTGTCACTGCTTGCCCTGCAGGTGTTTGTTCTTGAATCTTTTGAGTATATGTGACATTAACAGGGTCCTTCCCTCTGGCACTCATGTGACACTAACCAGGGTCCTTTCCTGTGGTAATGACCTTTAAGGTTGGCATACTGTTCAAAGTGTACATAACTGCCTGAATTCTATAACCAAGCTGACAATGCAGTCAGTGTGTGTGTGTGTGTGTGTGTGTGTGTGTGTGTGTGTGTGTGTGTGTATGTGTGTGTGTGTGTATGTTAGTCACTTAGTTGTGTCTGACTCTGCAACCCTATGAACTGTAGCTAGTCAGGCTCCTCTGTCCATGGGATCCTTCAGGCAAGAATACTGGAGTCGGTTGCCATTTCCTTCTCCAGGAGATTTTCCCAACCCAGGGACTGAACCCAAGTCTTCGGCATTGAAGAAGTCACCATCTGAGGCACCAGGGAACCCCAATGTAGCCTAGAAAAAGGCAATTATATATGAAGCAGTAGAATAGATTACAAAAGGCTGACAATTTATAAATAATGTAATATGTAAGAAATAGTGATAAAGTTAACAGGCAAATTTTTTTGATGCATTATTAGTTTTTATTGATATATAGCTGATTTCTAATATTATAATAATTTCAGGTATACAGCATAGTGATTCAGTATTTTTAACAGATTATACTCTATTGAAAGTTATTGCAAGATAATATTGAGAGTTCTAATTCTCTGTGCTATACAACATATCCTTGTGGCTTTTCTATTTTATACATTTAATGTATATTTCTTAATCCCACACCCCTAATTTATCCTTCTCACCTCTTCTCTCCTCTTTGGTAATCATGTTTGCTTTTTATATCTGTGAGTCTGTTTCTGTTTTGTTTTTCACTCATTTGTATTGTTTTTTATCTATCTATTTTTTTTTATTTTTTAATTTTTTTTCATTTATTTTTATTAGTTGGAAGCTAATTACTTTACATCATTGCAGTGGTTTTTCTCATATATTGAAATGAATTAGCCATGGATTTACATGTATTCTCCATCCCGGTCCCCCCTCCCACCTCCCTCTTGACCCAATCCCTCTGGGTCTTCCCAGTGCACCAGGCCCGAGCACTTGTCTCATGCACCCAACCTGAGCTGGTGATCGGTTTCACCCTAGATAATATACATGTTTCGATGCTGTTCTCTTGAAACAGCCAACCCTCACCTTCTCCCAGAGTCCACAAGTCTGCTCTATACATCTGAGTCTCTTTCTCTGTTTTGCATATAGGGTTATCGTTACCATCTTTCTAAATTCCATATATATGTGTTAGTATACTGTAATGGTCTTTATCTTTCTGGCTTGCTTCACTCTGTATAATGGGATCCAGTTTCATCCATCTCGGTAGAATTGATTCAAATGAATTCTTTTTAATGGCTGAGTAATATTCCATGATGTATATGTACCACGGCTTCCTCAT